TTTGTCCATTGGTACAATCTCCATACACAGCTTACATTTGCGGTACACTTCGATTCTTTTAGGTCAGACTTCTGATCAAGTCATCACTCAACCAAGGTGGATGGGTACACATCCTCTACGAATGTTGGGTCACGAAGTGTGGGTCGGATTTGGTCTGTATGCATTGACCAATTTATAGCATTGGAAATACCAACTCTTGATGAGACGAATGGAACCAGACCATCAGAGCTGACTGCTTACGCAGAGGGCCAAAGGTTCATGTATAAACAAAGTCTACCGTAACTCTTCGACAATGAACTGAATGTGACAGAACTCCTGCATCGCACAAGCGCTACGGAGCATAATATATTGGCTACGACTATCGTAACCAACATCCCATGGGTTCATGCGTCTAACTACCAGAATACATCTAACCCAAACAGCGAAGGCTATAAAATACAAATTCCCTTTTTCACTTCAACTGAAACATCAAGAGTTCAAGTTCACAGATAAACAGTTCAAGGGTCCTAGTAGTGTCCTCAAAAAGCCGGACATGCCTCACAGGCCGCCTAGGTCACATCACCTAACCACAACTTTTACTCGATGGTGTGTCTGATAATCGAACATCCGGAAGTAGTTGTATGCGAGCATGCCATTCCAAAGCACATCAGCAGGATCTCCAGTTTGAACCCCATCACTTCTCAACTTTCCTTCTTTGACCACTACAACATGGCCAAATCCGCGGTAGCAAAACACGACAAATCCGTACACGCCGATGACGAACGATACATCGTGTTGGTCTACACGTCACTGTCGGAGGCAGCCCAATGCATCATCGAGTGGAACCGCGGCAAGTTCTGCAGCAAGAGCAGAAGTTTGCATCCGCCTTGAATGTTTACACCAAGTTCCACTGCTTCAAGTTCGAAAGGCATTGTTTGCTTGATGCCAACCTGGTTACTTTCGACAAGCTTCGAAAGGCGTTGAAAAAAACGAGAGCACGACTCTCAACAACAGCCAGCTGGCATCGGTGTATCTGTTCGAGTTACCTGACTGCATTGCACACGATTTGCAAGTATAGCGCGGCGCCCGACTGAGCATCTCATACAACCAGCTACATCACAACTTGCCGCAGTATTCGCACGAACTGACCTAGAAATACCTCGGTTTCTGGGGTTCCAAACTTACCGGTCATGTCTTTACTGTACATGGTTTGGGCCAAGCTCCCGAAACCACTCGATCGAGTGCTTTATGCATCTCCATATATGAGATGGCTACGATCATCGTCCGGCCTCAGATTTCCGACGCATCACGCCCAATGCGGCCAATACAGAGTCGTATCTTCGGACTGAAAGATCAATGTGATGAAAGGCCGTTTCACCACCACGGCTATCGCAGCCAATCGGCCCGATGAGTCTTTTAATGATTTTTATCATTGTTTTGCCCCTCCGGAGCTGTACCCTATCCAAAATGACCCGCGAAGCCGCAGTCGCTACACGCACGAAGGTGGTTCCGGTAAAAATACCGAAGGACATGACCATCGTCGTCGTAGTCGTAGCGTAAATCGCAGCGACACTTCTCGTCAGCATGACCAGACTCGTTAATTCAGTCTTCATGAACCGTGCCAAAATTTACGACATTTCGTGACAACGAATAGGCATCAATGCCTAGACTAACGTGATCGACCATTGATCGGCCAAATGACCATCGATCGACCAAGGTGTTTCGTCCAATTGAAATTAATAAGATGTTTCATTGGACAAAATAAATCCTTGTGATATGTTTTACCTGTATAATGTGATGGAGGCAAACAATTCAATTTTAAAGAGGTTTTAAGCTTTGAATTTGAAATGCCGCGAAGAACGTCCTACGCGTAGGAGGCGATGGACGTGGCTGCCCGAGCTGTGCTCAACAAGACACACAGTGTTTTGACCGCTGCCGAGGCACATGGTATACCCCAACGTACACTGCGCACCCATGTCGCAAAGGCAATCACGGGTGACAACCGACCGACGACGATGTGCAGGCCGCCTGTCCTGCCGAAGGAGTTCGAAGACGACTTGGCTACTTGGATTGTCGCAATGGACCACGAAGTGGTATCCGTTGGCTGTCGTCAGATCGTCGACAAGGCAACCGAGATACTTCAAGTGCTACATGATAGACCACGTGACACCAAGCTTACGAGCGGTTGGTACAAAAGATACCTCGGACTCAATCAAGATCTGAAGATTGCGAAAGCACGAACTCTGAGCAAACCGCGAAACGGTGTCAACAACGATACCGTGGTGGAGTTCGTGCATGAGCTTGCTCATTCCATGTCACTTGCTGACATGGATCCATCACTGGACGAGACAAGTTTTTCGCCGTCCAAGACGTCAAGGAAGGTGGTTGTCCAACGCACGACCAAGAATGTTTACGCTCAAGAAGAGACAGCCTCAGCCTACGTCACGATTGTCGCATGTGTCGCTGCCAACGGGACAAAGATGCCACCGTTGTTCGTACTCCCGGGTGACACTGTATCTACACTGGAATGTGACAGCCTGTCTATGCCTGGTACCGCAATCACGACCTCCGAAAAAGGGTGGACCAACTCATTCATTTGTCGCAAGTGGATGTCCATGCTCAACTCAAGTATCCCGATTTCGACGCCACGTCCCATTTTGCTCATTTTGGACGGGTGTTCGTCGCATTAGTCTGAGCAAATCTACGACGCTGCGACATCATTTGACATTTTGCTGCAATTTCTACCAGCCAACTCAACGCATCTGTTCCAACGGTTGGACGTTACGGTGTTCTGGCCGTTCAAACATGCGATACGCCAAACAAATTGGGGTCTTTTTTGACCGACGTGGGCTCAACCATCAAGAAGCAGCATGCATTCAAGATTGCCTGTAACGTTTGGGCAAATGATACAAGTTCATCAGCTATTTCGGCCAAGAAAGACGTTGAAGAATCTTGGCTCCAACGAACGACAATTGTTCGCAATCAGGTGCTACTTTTGCGGCCCGAGAAGAAGCGAAAGCGCGCGCCACAAAAGCGATTGACAGTCAGTGGTAAGCGGATCACTTCTGATTACCATGGTCTTTTGCAAGCGCAAGCCCTGGAAAAGCCAAAGCACAAAACGAAAGCTACTCAAGATGACGTGGCGGTTCAAGTGTTGAATTCGGACGAATTCGTAGAAGTTTGTGTGATTTAGATGGATAAAAACAGTTCATACAATTGTTTGTAGTTGATAAAATTTATTGCTAAGCTACAGGATAAGAAAATTGTTAAAAATGATGTTAAGAAAGTTGGTTTGACTCGACAATTCCCTAGGCACCGTGCCCACCTCGAAGAATGAGCTTCACTGGTTAACCTTTGCCCTGACCCCACTTACTGCTTCCGTTGTAGAGAAGGCTAACGATATGGAGGTACGGAACGGACGCAGGCACACTTGGTGGTGACGAACTTACGCCGCAGGCATCCGAAATGGGCACCAGGAGGATAATTGAAGAATGAATCAAAATCAGTTGGGCAAATAAAATTGCACAACGTTGAGCAACTTACTTGTATTGTACAACGCTGAACAATCCATTCTCGTACAACGTTGAACAATCCCTTCTCGCATTGTTCAACGTTGAACAATACTTGCAGCTGTTACTCTCAATACTTACACCTGTTGAAATTTAGTAACCCTATGAGACATACTACTCTAATCCGAAACATTTGTCAGGTTCGACTTTACATTGGCGGAATTTTTCTAATACAAGGCCGTTTAAACTCTGATTGGTGCATCTGAAAGCGCAGGATCTCAGCTTTGATTGGACCATTTACACGAAAAGTAGAACGCTTTTGCTGTTGAGATAAGCACCATCAAAGTTGGTGGGACCCTCATAAAATACTAACGGCCATCCGCTGGGACTACCCACCACTATTTGCGAGCCCACACTCACATCCTACATACACATCCCACCCATTCATGTCCAACCAGACCCTCGGCGCTAGTCCAGCTGCCTCCGTCGATGTTGCCCAGCCCCCAAACGGTCACAAGCACTTGTCCCCTACGGAGCGCCAGGCTGTCTACGAAATGCTTCTAGGAGCTGCCATAGGAGAGGTACTCCCTCGAGGAGTCATTGTCAAAGCAGCGAAGCAGTTTGGCTGCCATGAACGCACCGTATCACGCCTCTGGGTTCGGGCGCAGCTCTCCCTGCGGCATGGTTGCATCTCCGCTGATGTTCGCACGAAATTGCGTGGTAAACCTCCAAAAAGCTATTATCCATTTATAAAGTTTAATGTGTTAAGGAAATACTGGACGACGGCAAAAGCGAACCAATTAAGAAATCGAAAGCGCGATTCGAGCAGTCTCGTTGATGTCGCGGCAGACGCTTCGTTCGCTTTTGGCTGCGTGTGAGATCCCAATGACTTCCATTATTCGCCATAAGAAGAAGACCCCAAGATTCAAGGCCAAGTCGAACTACGTCAAACCATACCTCACGCCAGCGAACATCGAAGCTCGTCTGAGGTAAGCAATGTCCTTCGTTCGACCTTTGTCAAATGGTCGCCACTGTTTCTCCAACATGCTCGATTTCGTGCATGTTGATGAAAAGTGGTTCTATTTGACGAAGGTCAAACGTCGGTACTAGTGTACGATGACGAAGAGGTGGCTGCGCGCTCCGTCAAGTCCAAACACTACATAACCAAGGTTATGTTTCTTGCCGCCGTGGCCCGTCCCCGCTACGACCATCACTCCAAGATGTTTTGGGACGGCAAGGTTGGTGTGTGGCCCTTCGTTCAAGTGTCGCCGGCGTTGCGTGGAAGCAAGAACCGCCCCAAGGGCACCCTTGTCACAGTTCCTCAAGCCGTGGACAGTACTGTATATTTTGACGCCGTTCTGAACAAGGACGTCCATGCCATTATGGCCAAGTTTCCTGGCAGTGTGCGGCACGGTAACGTGTTCCTCCAACAAGACAACGCCAGCCCGCACCATTGCGTTACGACAGAGCTGCTTCAAGCCAAAGGTGTGCGTGGGATTGTTGTAGCAAATCAGCCTCCCAACAGTCGAGACTTTAATGTCTTAGATTTAGGTTTCTTAATTCTATTCAAAGTCTTCAGCACCAAAAGGCAACTCGTTCAATCGAGGAACTTATTGGTGCTGTAGAAAGTGCGTTTTATGAGTTACCGGCAGATACAGTTGCAAAGACATTCATAACACTTCAAAAGGTTTTGGAAATGTCCATTGAAATGCATAGAAGCAATGATTACAAACTTCCTCATATAAGAAAGGATGCTTCAATTGCTGACTTTGCATCGTACAATGTTGAGTTCGATGCATCTTGCTACGAGAGTGCGTTAACTCATTTACATGAACGTCTGGGCGAGGAGTCCACCATGGAAGCGTTGGTGAATTCTCTTGATTGAGTAGTCGGCATGAACTTAAAAAAATACATTAAATTTTGTGCCTTGAATATGTTGTCTTGGGGTTGTATACAAAAATCAAGTTGTTCGAAAGCCATGGCACATACTTTAATCAAATGAAAAACTACCTGACAAACGTTTCGGATCAGAGTAGTAGTTTTGAATTTTTGGAGCGAAAAATTGACCCAACTTATTTCAATACTTAATTCAAGGGTAAATTTTGGCCGATCAATAATGGTCGACTGTGTAAAGTGCCGAACTTTGACATTTTTTTTGGTCTGCCAAGTATTGTTTAAATCGATACATTTGAATATGTCGCGAAAGAGCTTTCCGTCAGCTTTCCGGAAATGTTGGTTTCAATGAAATGCCATGAAAACCAATTGAGATATTTTAGTTTGAAATTTTTAAAAATTTGGCCGATCAATGGTCGATCACGTCATGTACTTTTATATGAGACTCCATTGGCATCATTGCCTAGATTAACGACACCTCGTGAACAACAAAAACATGTCTCGTTTTCGGTACTACAACAGTCCTCCAACCTTCAAGCATAATTTCGAATATACTAAAAGACTTTAGACCACATTTTGACTCACTCGATACATATATCGTGGTCACTATTATAGACAGCTATTGGCTGTGCACTTCGTATGTCACCGACTACAGGGAACAACGTTGAATAGTACCGAAATCATGCCTGCAGAGGGTCTATGTGAATTGGCCAATGACACGACAGTTCACTCATAATTAAATAAAGGGATTGAAATTTCATTATATTGCCACATAATATTATACAGGTTATTGATATAGAAAGACAATATCAGTAAGCTCTAGCAGTGAAAAGGCAACGGATTCCAGAGAAAACGGATTGATGCAGTAAATTTGTATTTAACTTGAAGTTTCCAGAGTACTGAGACACGTCAGTGTACACTTCGTTTGACGGTGAATTTGCTATGGGTCAAGAAAATTATTTTATTACTTAGTAACTTCAAAATACTCAAAGAAGTATAATTAATTTTAATTTCGAGAAATCTCTAGATTGCTCTGGAAGCCTAAAGTCGACATTTTTGAAATTTATCTGAATTTCGAAGTGCAGTTCTAGAATTTTGTAAAGAGGGGAACTCACGCATTTAGATCATTTTGAAATTTGCCACCAACAGCACAAGTGTTCGTCTTAACTGTAAATCACTGGGCCTACTGGGGTGGGTCTGTTCAAGCCTTCTCACTCCACTAATTCCTACACCCAGGTTCCACCGTGACAAAGTTTGCTCAATTCGCGGAATAGATCTGGACAATGGGTTAACGATGTTCATATGAGCGGAAACCCAAGGTTATCCTTGTGACCGGACACCTAGACAATGTGATACAAGGCATTTCGTGGCAAATTATAAGGAATTTATTTTAGTACATTTCTTTCAATTGCTTTGGCATTGATTTTAGAATTTCAATATTGATATAATGCTTCTAAATCATTATTAATGTTAGGTATCGCTTTAGCAAAGCTAGCACGAACTTCTTCGGTATTCATATCCCAGGCTTGAATTGCTCGCTTGATCATAAGATTCGCTTGTCTTTGGCAGTCGTTGCAGTGTCTTGGGAAAGACCCATAAATCACGCAAGTACTGTTTAAAAGGGCCTATAATTGACACGTCCAAAGTTGGCAATGCGACGTGCTGTTGGGGCGGAGCGCATAAAGCTTGCTTCCTAACTCTTCGCACACAATTCGTTAGCTCTCTTCACTCACTTGCGAATCAAAATTGTCGACCAACAAGATGGAGGGTCTTCGATACTCAACGACAGCACGTCACGAAGGTAAAACTTCCACACCGCACCGTTCATCCATGCCTTCTTTTTCATAGCATAGAAGTGTCCTTTCGGATACTCGACAAAATCGTTACTCTCGATGGCACCCCCAGGCTCGCCACGAATGATGAACAATATGGGAAGCTTCTTGCCATCGCCACGAACACTGAGTAACGCAGTCATACGATTCGAGTGGGACTCCAAGTTGGACACATAGCTACCGACGCCGCGAACAGCCCAGATTGTGCTAGGGCACATGTCGTAGTATATGCCGGTCTCGTCGGCATTGTACAAACAATCCAGCGGGAAGTCGGGGTGAGTGTCGTGGAAAGTCTTTGCAAAGGCCAACCGTGTTGCTTCGAGGTCTTCTTGCATCTTTTTTTGGCGACAGATGCTTATTTGGAGAACCCGTGACGATCAGCAAAATGCTGCAACAAACTCAGCGACGATAAGTACCCGGTCTTTCGTGTCGACATGTAGGTCTCGATCCAACTGAGATGGTCCATGAGTAGGAATTGCAGCATTTGGTTAGATGTGACGGCAAGCTCTTGACGGCGTAGGTCCTTCATTTACGTCACAAGCACCTGCGGTTCGGGTATGATTGCGCGTGCTCCACAGTCACCGGTGTTCTTCTTTCGTGCCTTTGAAGTCCAACAGCTTGGGCTCTTCTTTGACCCAGAGTCACAGTTTTCGCTTGGGGTACCCAAGACGTTGAGCTGCCACTCGCACATAAGTTGACTTGGCAGCGGCAATGGATTGCAACTTATGTCCAATGGAATTCCTGATTCGATGCTGGATGCTCTTCGGCTCCATTTCGTGCAATGTGTTCAGCAAGTGATCGAGTTGTGGGGTTTGATGGTCATCAAATTCCATTTAAATTTGCCGCGGATTATTTTAGCCAATAATGTCAACTCTTTTGTATTTCATGATTTGATAGGTCAGTTCAAAAGATTTTGGTGCTAAAATTCCCGCGGCACTATTCAACGTCGTTCCCTGTAGTCCAATAGTTGTAACAACAACTAGACTCTTGTCTATGGACAGTCGACAGTGGTGCTTCCAAGCACTCCACTTTCAGAGGAGAATGGTTCGTTGCATACGAAGCTTACTAATCACTAGCCGATGGCTACTCCTACTCACGGCACGTCGTAAGTCGCAGTTGGACTTTACGTCACTGGCTCCAACGGCGGCCCGTTGGCGATCTATCTGCAGGATGTATACCACATCCCAGAACTACCCTTCAACCTGATTTCTGTCAGTCGAGCCCTACACATGGATCGACACCGAATTGTCTCCATCGATCCCAACGTATGGACTCAAGCCACGTACGATGGCACGTTCAAGGCAGACTATGCGCCGCGCTCAGGGATGTACGTCATATCGACGCTACCCCATCTGCATGCTCATCGCCCGGCCACGACTATCCTCCTGACAAAGTCCAGTGCGCAGGGTACCATGATGTGGCACCATCGATTGAGCCACACCAGTCATGACAATCCCCGCATTTTGCGGCGTCATTCGAACCTCCTCGATTTTCTGAACTCACGGCTCATGCCTCATGTGACACATGTCTAAGGTCGAAGTCCAAATATCAAACTCCCAAAGACGTCGAGGCCTCTCGAACGAGTGCACTTGACATCTGGGGGCCGATCAACATCCCCTCCATCTCTGAGGGTAGATATTTTTTAATATTTATAGACGATTTTACTCGATACACCTTCGTGCACATTATGCTACGGCATGCAGAGCTGTACGAAACGTACAGTACTTTCTGCTAGGATGCACGGATGCGCTATCGCTCCGACATCCTCCAGTATGCTGTCACCACTCATCATTGAGTGAGTTAGAGGAAATTCGGGTGCTCCAAATGGACAATTCCGCCGAATATGTCAAGCTCAGGATGAGTATAAGAATATGGAACCCGTTTGACCTATACGAATGCCTACACGCCGCCACAGAAACCTGTGGCCGAGCGTCGTATGGGCATCATCGTCACGATCGCCCGGTCCATGCTACTGCATGGTAACCTGCCACAGTTTTCTGTGGGGCGAGGCAGTATCACATGCAGTATTCATCACGAATATCCTGCCGTCTACCACGCTTACTCGTGACACACCGTATCGTCTATGGTATCAAAGCCATCCAGACTACGCACGACTTCGAGTATTTGGATGTGTGGCCTATGCTCATGTCAACATACCCTGGCATGCGAACAAATTGTCTCCACGAGGCATGCTGTGCATGTACATCGGCTTACCTGAGACATCTCGAGGGTTCAAGCTTCTCAGCATTGACACGCACTACGTACTACGAGCTCACGAGCTGTGATGCCACCTTTGTGGAACATCAGTTTCCCTCGTGAAATCAGTCGAGGAAGTCAAACGACTGAGGATTGAGCTTCCACATCGTAATTGTTTTACTATGGACAAGCCACTTCCCCAAACACAACCCCCGTTGCCATCATAACTTGGGGAGACTACTACAGCAACCACACCTCTACCCTGATTTGGGGAGGCCTTATACTCTGGCTCGACGAGTTCAGTATGGCAAATACCTGTAGTAATCGACGTACCCGGCTCAGATGACATTCAGGAGGCTCAGAAGATTCGGGAGGCTCACCGTGTCCTCGTCGACATTGAATCGATCGACACAATAATGAGTCGACGAATATTATTCCGACTCCGAAACGTCATCGATCACTGACATTCAATTCGACGACGGAAGTATTTCCCGAGAAGTACAAACTACCCTGCTCTGGAGTATGTTAGTATGACATTCACCTCCAAGCCAACATTGTCACCTACGACAATCCAGTCGCTTGAGACTCTTCCTCGACCCTCGTGGTCTCGAGCGTCACAACAACCACACCAACGAGTGTGTTATGGGCTCATCACAGACTTTCACATTGGTCACGGCGACGTCTACCCGAAGGCCCTCCAAGACTACTTATGTCATATATCGAGGACGCTTCGTGCGCTCGATCCATCTCGACACCAGAGCATGTCCTCTCGGCCCTCAAGGTCAAAGCACCTACTGAGGAGCCCTCAAGATATGGGCAAACTATGAAGTCATCAGCCAAAGCACATTGGCACGAAGCCATGCTGCTCGAATTGTCTTCACATGAGGCGAACATGTCGTTCGAGAGCGCAACATTGTCTCCAGGGAAGTCAACCCTGGTCATGCGCTGGGTCCTTAAGATCAAATACGATGACTCAGCCACTGAGGCTACGCGACAGGTCGCCCGCTACAAAGCGTGACTTGTCATCCAAGGACACACTCAGGTCCAAGAAGTCGACTTCGAGGAGAGTTACTCCCCAGTCATCGCAAAGGAAATCTCCGAATGAGCTGGCTCTCGGCGCGGTCCTCGATTATGATATCGACGCGATGGACGTCATCACAGCCTTTCTCAATGGAGAAATCGACTGTGAAGTATACGTCAAACATCCTCGCTACGTACTAAGAGTACTTCGAAGCGTATACGGACTGAAACAGGCACCACGCTTGTGGTTTCAGACACTGGGTACCTACTTGAGCGAGCTAGGGTACACCCAACTCATTCAAATACAAGTGTGTCTTCACCAAGGTCATGGACGGACGATCAGTTTTCATCGGCGTGTATGTCGACGACCTCGTCATCATGGCTCCCACACGACGGACATGATGACAACAATCAAACATGGTATGTCGGCGCGTTTTAAAATGCATAACCTTGGCTCACTCAAGTTCATTCTTGGGTTCCACATCGTTCGAGACCGATCGCAACGAACTCTCATAATGCACCAGTCCCAATATGCGACGCCTATTCTGAAGAGGCTCACTACGCAGCATAATTCTCACGACCACCCAGGCAAAACTTATGCTTCTGTGCACAGTAGCACAAGAATGCTTGTACATCAAACCGAAAGCAGGTGAGATGGGTCATCCCATCACCTCGACTATTACCCACCATGAGGACGACCAAAGCACCATCCAGATAGTCAACAACTCTGGTCACCTTTGGCGCACAAAACGTATCGACGTGCTCAACGACCTCGTCGAACAATCGTTACGACTCGAGTACACAGATACACGACTCCAAGTCGCGGATATCTTCACCACACCATTAGACGTTCTGCGCAGTAAATTCAGAGTGGAGAAGCTGAAGCCCTCCAAACCCTTTGGCCGAAGCCAAAGAGCATAAACTCCGGCTTTTCAGTTCCGTCATGTACGGAGAACGCTCGAACCGCGACATGTCAGACAACGGGGGGTGACGGTATCCCGGTAGATACTCGATCGATCTGGCCCTTCCACGGCGCATCGTTCGGAAAGGACCAATTGGTAAGGATCCGCGAAGAAGGATGTCCGACGAGCTTAGTCCCGGACATTATACGACGAACCATTTGTTGTTATGCTGAATGAGTTTAACCGACAGCCTCTTGCTGCACTATGGGGCACCTGATTCCGGCGACAGTGCGTGGAGTTGTAGGGAGGCAGTCAGAACACCTGTTTTGTCATGTACATCACCACTGCCTGAAGCCTGAGTGGCTAACCATCAGCTAGTCCGTCGGGCCTCTAGAGCCAGTTGTTCTCACTGGTGTCTAAGCTAATTCACTTTCCGTTTCACCCGCAACCATCCAGTGTCCCCCAATGTGACAGAACTCCTACAACGATGGAACATATTGTGCAGCTACGAATATCGTAACCAAGATTCAACCAATTGTACAGTACTCTGTAGCGTTTTCGCTTCCTTCGTTATCCAGACAGGAACCTCTTGCGGAGGCAAGAATTAAATTGCAAACTGACTGCTGGGTCTCCATGACATAGTCTACCACGACCCAGACGATCTTGCTTGGCCACGCCAGTGCAGGGACAACTTGTTGCCTTGGCGGGACACTAGGCCAACGAGGACAAAGTCGCCGATCGCGAACTTCTGCAACTGGACGGCCTTTGACTTGGCTTGGCGGTCGCGGGCTTGGCGTCGCTTCTTGGTGCTTGTCGCAGCCACTTCGCGATGCAGCTGTTCCATCGCTTCATGCAGAACGTCCATGTGCTTCTTGCGCGTGAAGTCGAGCCAGTCAATGTCGGCGACTTCCTTGGTCACGGTGTTGACAAACGCTCACAGGGGCGTCGTCACAGGTAGGCCAGTAAAGGCGGTCACCGGGGCCATGCCGCTAGGTCGGTCGCTCGGCATTGCGGTTCAATGCGCCTTGTACCAGGGCCAGGACAAGGTGCCAGTAGGTCGCAGCTTCAACTCGCTGGTAAGGGTCTTGACAGCACGGAGGATCAGGCGGTTGACTACTTAAACGGTTCCGTCGCCCAAGCACAATAGGCAGTCGTGATGCGATGGTGGGCGCCGGCGGCCTTGCGGATCATGTCGATGACTTCGCTCTTGAAATGAGAGCCGCTGTCGGAGATCAACGTTGGACATACCCAAAGGCCGTGAACCAGTCGAGGGGGCCGTTGGCGGTTGCCGCTGCGTCGCTTGTCTCGCTGGGCCAAAGTCGCACGAACCCGCTCATGTCGTCCTTGATGACGAGGATCTTCTGCCACCCGTGCGTCGCAGTGGGCATGGATATCCTAACATGGAGCACCAACCCTATCGGGCGCGGGAACACTGGGCCGTCGACGCTGAGGCAGTGGATGCAGGCTTGGACAAAGGTCTTGACATCGGCTTCGAGGGTGCTCCAGGCGAAGACATCGCGGACACCCTTGGCCGTGTGCTCGATTCAACGATGGCCCGTGGTGCCTTGGTGCGCTATGATGCAATCCCGCTGCTGGAGGCCCGTGGCACTTGGTGGGATCTAGATGCGGTCTTCCTTGTCGAGGACAGGTTCTTGTCTTCATTCCACGCCACGCCGGTTGGCGGGGTCTGTCCCCTCTTCCCGGCCACTTCTTGGGTCTTGACGGTGCTGGCAGGACTGGGCCAGTCAAAGTCGGGCTGCTGTAGGGGCGGCACTATGGCCAGGAGGCACCGGCTAGACTGCGCTGGCACCAGGGCTTGGGCAGCGCCCCAGCGGCTGAGCAGGTCGCACCACAAATTGTCTTCACCGGGCAGGCACTTGATGGTGTAAGGGGACGAGGACAGATCCAAGGCCCAGCGCTCCAATTTGTGCGTTTGGTACCTTGCCATACTTGGGGACTGGCCGGCAGGATTGAAATTGTACTGCAGGCTCTTGTAGTCGGTGAAAAGGCGGAAGCCAGCTGGGCGGATATAAATGTAGACCAGCTGCTTGCAGCTTTTCACAACGGCAAACGCTTCCTTCCGCCCGTGGGTGCGCCATGGGAACCATCGCCAAGAGAGCCTCCTTGATCTTGTCGAAGCAGGCCAGAAGGCCAACTTCGGAGCAAACGACAGTGAGTTAGACGCGGGTAAGCTTGGTTCTTCGCACTTCCAATTTGCTTGTTCTCTGCGTCAAGAAGTTGGCGACTTCAAGACCATTTGGTGCGGTGTCTAGTCGTATTAGTCGTTGCAAGAGTTTAATGTTTGCGTTAAGAGCATTGTGCATCGATATCGTCGAGTCCCTGCAACACTCCTGGAAATCTACAAATCCAGAGCAGACGTATGAAATCTAGTGGTGGTAATACCTTAACCAATTGTACAGTACTCCGGAGTAGGTCCTTACCCAGCTAGTTCGACACTTGCTTTCCATCTGGAATTGCCACTGTCATTGTCGAGGACGAGTTTGGGGGGAATATAGCTTTACAGCGCTGCCTAGAACATCAGCACGCGTTGATATCCCGGGCGCGGGGGCTGGCTGCACTGTGGGTTACGTAAAGTTGTGACCTCCCAGGATGCCTCGAGGTTCTGCATCCAAGAGTATTGTTCTCAATGTTCTGCACTACTTCGTACTAGTTCTACGTACAGTAGTACTCCTGAGTAATGGTATTCGCATTGGTTTGCTTGAAGCAAAGACTACTATG